CATCTAGGACTGAGTGAAAAGATTTGATTAACAACGTTATTATGAATCAATCACGTTATTTTCGCTGTTAGCAAATGAACAACCAGTTTTGATCAAAATACTGAAATCTATTGGCCAAATGAAGCAAGAACGCAAACAGAGACATTCAAAAGCTAGAACGTTGTTTTCTCGTAAGAAAATTTCATTACGTCAGAAAGAGAAGTAGTTTTATGATAGCACACACGGACGCATTTCTGACAAGTAAACTCGTTCTATATTTAAATTGGCATTAAATTGGACTGCTTTACACTAAACGCTCCCTACTCCTTATCCAGTACAGGTTTTGCATTTTCAGCCGTACAGATCTCGATCAGTGACTTGTTTACTTGCAGAAGATCAAGGTCGATAACCTAGCACCCCCGGCGTTGTAGAACCCCCAGCGAGCTTACAAGTATGAAGCTCTATTTGGAGGCCCAATGAACAATGAAAGATAACTAGATTCTCTGCAAGAAACCGTTTTGTAAGTGCTGTTTGGCACAACATTACTTCTGCTTAGCAAAGTAAATGGTAGTAACATCGTACATCTATTAAATCGATACGACACTTTTTCCCACAGTTTCTCGTTCGACGCTAATTCCGACGAGCGGAGGAAAGAAAAAGCTGGAACATCTATCTGAATGAGACGTTTAGATYATTCTTGGCATTTTTGCGCCAATATATTTGTCAGGAATTTTTATTAGTTAATCTATATTTTTTAATTATTAGTACATATTGTTAGCTAAGTCTACGTGTCAGGTTCTTTGACTGGGGGCGCTGTCTCAAGCGTCTTTTCAAGATACCAGAGCTCTTTTGACACATGTTCGTGATATTTCACTCTTCACGCAATCATGAGCAATAAAAGTTCAATTAAAAACATCAGACATACAGAAATTTATATATACAAAGTTGTAAAGTGTTTCACAAATTATATTTACAGAGTGATAATATATAGGACTTTACACGAAGCCTACGTTATTTGCGGTAAAATTGATCAAAGATTTCGGACCGAAAAACTAATATATAAGGACATTTGAGATATTAATGAGGTCAAACTTAAAAAAAATTTATCAAAATGAAGCAAGTTTAAAGCAGGGAATGTTTTTTTTAACTGGTGAACTTTTCTTCGTTGGGACTATACCACGTGACAAAAAATCCTTCTGAATTTTTGACGGTTTTTGTCAAAAGAAATAATGTTAAAAAAAGACGGAAATAACTAAGAATCCAAGAATATAAAACAAACAAGAACATTGGAAGTACAAAGTTCTGGCCAGAYGCCCACTCATTCTATTCAAAGACCAGCTACAGCCATTCAAAGTGGTTTGTTCTTCYTCAAGTGGCGAAATGAAGCCTTAAATGTCGGTTATCGAGCGACAGAGCTTGATTATGACATTACGTCGCTCACCCCAGAAATTCTACGCAGGGCCAAATTGAAACAAGTCAGCTTTTGACAAATGATTTTTATTCAATATGTCAATCATGTTGACTTAGGAGTTTTATTAGGTTTTTGTGTAAATTGACCGATTTTGTTCTTCAATTTTTATGYGCTGCGGAGAGCAAACACGGCTGCGGACTGGAGGAAATTTCGATGTCGGTGCTGTGGTTAAACTAAGTCAAATCTGAAACGTTTTGATGATATTTTTATCCCACAACTAATGCTATACTTCACTGCGCGCGCCGTGTAARCGAATTCATTTAGCACACGAATCATAAAGAGCGACAAAAACAGCAATAAACCTCAAGTTATATAAATTAGTCTTAAATAAAGAACAATATCTTTGATCAACAAGAAACTGGACCAAAAACAATCGACTAGAATCCTTGTGTTCACTGAGATAACAACGATGCATTTTGTGTTCATTGGAGCTGTGGATTGTGATTCTGTAATTAATCTACACACATGATGTACTGTCTTACTTTGCTGGGGTCCCTGCTTCATCATCCTGTATACTTTCCTCATTAATCTTTGGACAATCAATCGCCATTATGACTAAGTGTCCGATAAAATCATACTCAATAATACGTGTAAGAATACTAAACAACAAATGACGAAATGTTCCTTTCAAGCGAAAACCTGCGCGGATTGAAAAGTTTTTGAACTTTTTAACGAGTGTAAGGAGAGGGATTTAAGGTTCAAAAATTCACTCGTTGAACAAAGAAAGTATGAAAAATGAGGCATTGAAGGTTACACACTTCACGACTAGCACCCTCGGTAGTGTTCGCACCTTTCTTACGAGATTACAACACCTTGAAGCAACCATTACAAACATCCTGCCGGAGTCCAAATTTTCGTTGTTATGAAGAGCCATGTCATTGGATGTTGCTACGCTTTCTCATAATTAGGCCTGATATCTATTTTATATTACTCAGTCTTACATTCCATGTCATGTTTACTTGTATCCCAAATCTTTGTGTTGTATAAGATCAAACTATAATTATACTATAAACAGAACTCACCTGAAACGACGTGGCATAAAGAACGATCTCCAACAGCACCACACATCTTGCAAAATTCTTCATGTTACTGCGACAAATAAAAAATATTTTAAAGGTTAAAAGAGAATAGCGAGAAGTTTTTGATGATTTTGTTTTGAGCTCAAAGTCCGCCAACTATTGTTTTGTCCTAATACTATACACGTTCAAATTTCTACACTTACATCTGACGCTGACACGCTAAGAAGCTGCTCAATTCTACTTTAAAAACGAGTATTCAATCCATTGGTGTCTACTAAGGACTTCATTTTTTAGCCTAATTCCATCTAATGTAAAGGAACTTGAATGCTAGCAGCTGTAATACTACTAGATGCACACTAGCGCTTCAAGCCAAAACACAAAAGCACAAGTTCTGAACATCTAAAGACTCTTGCTTACATTGTAATTACCTAGGTATGCTTGCTAACGACACGCCGAACAATAGAAAATATGCCGGGGAAGCCCTCGGTGGCTCTTTGAACCAGAACGCTCCAAATACATATTCACGAACTGTCTTWGAGCGCAACTCAACCAAAACGATGAAAGGACTTGCATAACTTGTGACTTAGAGRGATTTTAGTCCCAGGCCTGCGCGAYAACGTACCCGGGCGCGCAAACTTCAGAGACGGCATAAACTGTTAAAATGGCGTAAAACAGAAAATACTCATTCTTTAAAGAGATTTTTTTTACGTTAAGAAAATAAGGTCACAGGTTGTAGACAGTCGTTTATAACATTGTCAAACCAAGTCCAATTCYTATAATGATGACACAGTAAAGCACGCAGTTTTGGCCTCCCGCAAACCAGATTTGAGCTTAGCGAACAGACGGTCAGTTGTGGGAAAGAGGCTTTGCATGAAGAATGTCAAAATTAGGACGAATTAGCTGCAACTCCCACTCAACGTAGAGCCGCAATATTCACTAATAACCCTTTGAATGCTCATTAACTGCACTGGAATTCGACTGAATGAAAATGAATCAAAAATCTTTGACCTTATATTTCGAACAAATAAAATCCCGCGGTAATTTTTTAAAATTTATTCGACCATGATATTTCTTCTTTAAGTCGTTCACTCCGAGAACTAATAATAGCTTATCGAGGGAGATYACAATAATTAAATACTCTCCCATCAAATACAGTTACAAAGTATACAATTTTAGACAATTATGAGTGATAATTAAGATCTCGGCCAAGCAACTGCGATAGACAAGAGTTCACAGCTGAGAATAGAATATTTCTAGGGTTAGTGTCAGATAAAAGGTCACAAAATAAGTAGGCATATGTAGGCTTTGCTATAAAGAAAATCTCGATGGCACATGAGCTCTTAAATGAAGTACAACATAAAAACATTCGTAAAATATATATAACAAAAATTGCGCAAATATGTAGACCGTTATCACGATYTGGCAACATTACGCATCCTGTTGTCATCCATCCGCGGGAACCCAGGGGTAAACTTCTCGTCACTCGATTGTTTTTTTTCTGGGAGCGAGAAAGAAGTGACAGAATTTAACCCCTGGGTTCCCGAGTTCGCTTGTTATCCACAGCGCAAAGCTATAGCACTACATCGCAAACCTCGGGTTAAAAAAATAAAAATAAAAAATGGAAATATTCAGTTTGTCCTAGTACTCCGTACAGGTATATCTAAGTACGTAGAAGCGGGAGAATAAAAATCTTAGCATTAAAGTGGGATAGAACCTAAACTAATATCAGTCACTGGCCTCACTTGTTTTGCATCAATTCGCTAACTCTATTCAGCGCTGACATATACTTTRCCAACCTCTGGTGTTTTTGTCCTAAATGATGGAATTTAGAAGGAAATAGCGGTTGATTAAAGCATAAGGTTGCATTTTTCCACACATTTGTCGATACTTTTTCTATTCCTATGATCAAGGCTACTCAAGCAGATGTTGTGATAGGGCCGGAGTTCTCAGCAGACAATAATATCCTTAACAATTTAGCTGCATGCTTTCCATCTATTGTTACGTTGAATTTTGAACGACAAAATACAACAAATTCCTTTCACAATCAAACGTACCTAAATATCCTGTCTCGAAGCCTGCAGATTACTCCAGTTTACACAAAAACGAGTGAGTATTATCCATTAATTCGGGAAAGAATCTTCTGATAACTTTGTACAAGACAACTACACCTACTCCGCCGAGTCTCCACCCATACCAGAGAGAGACTGATCTTCTTCCCACCTTGCATTTTAATAGGAAACCAAGACAAAGCATGTCTGTTTTAACAACATCTGTGGTAACTCAAAACGAGTCGAGTAACTCAATAATCAAAATGAAAATAAGGAAACAGGTGGGGTTTTTTCTTAGCCCCAATGAATCCATTAACCAGACATGTAGTTACCGAGGTTATCGTATGTAGTATTAAAGAAATAATACTGGAAAAGATTGAGCGTGTTTTTCGACGATCGATTCTGCGCTAAAAATTCTTTTACGATCTCATTTTAGCCGATTATCTAATGTTAACTATTTTGCACCCACACGACTTAGCTTTGTAATATAATAACTGCTATACTCAAATGTCAAATTCGCGCATAAAATTACTATTTTTATTTCAAATGCATGAAAGATCAATTTGGGATCATATCTCCAGACRTAGTGCTAAAGCGCAGTATGGTAGCGCGAAGCATTTACGGCTATTAGGTTTCTTCACTTTTCTTTTTCCGTTTAACCTCAAAAATTCAACCAAGAAAAGACTAGAAAACTCAAGCGCACGGTCTTCTTTATCGTGGGTTAAATCCTACGCTTTAAATTAGTAACACGCAGCAGACACTTTAATTTTGTTGCATTTTATTTTACCCTCCAGATTTCTGTAAGCTGTGATATCATCATCGCGTCATTAAGATGTCATAACGAGTAATTGTGACGTCATCAATCAATGCGTCCTCATTTCATTTTTGAGAGCTATTAAGTGTGACGTAATTCGGCGAACGAAAAACAACGTCCGGATCAAAATTAGAAATTACTTCTACAGATATTTTTGTGTAGTTTTTCTTCATAGCAGATTTTCTGCTCATATATCTAATTGTTCAAGGTAGAGAATACTTCCTGGAAATAGGTCGTAGCAAAGATTTTAGTAATCTTTTGTGTGATTGTACCTGGAAATACGTCACAACTTAAAAGCCCTATCCCTATAGTCATTGTGATATCGTCATTATACTATCTTTGTACAGTTATTGTGATATCATCATCAACTCATTGTGATGTCATCATCGCATCACTCATTGTGATGTCATCATCGCATCACTCATTGTGATGTCATCATCGCATCACTCTTTGTGATGTCACCATCAACTCATTGTGATGTCATTACAGTCATTGTGATATCATTACGTAGTCATTGTGAAGTCATTACGCAGTCATTGTGATGTCATTACGCATTCATTGTGATATCATTACGTAGTCATTGTGAAGTCATTACGCATTCATTGTGATATCATTACGTAGTCATTGTGATGTCATTACGCATTCATTGTGATATCATTACGTAGTCATTGTGAAGTCATTACGTAGTCATTGTGATGTCATTACGCAGTCATTGTGATATCATTACGCATTCATTGTGATATCATTACGCATTCATTGTGATATCTTTACGTAGTCATTGTGATGCCATTACGCATTCATTGTGATGTCATTACAGTCATTTGATGTCATTACACATTCATTGTGATGTCATTACGCATTCATTGTGATGTCAGTTACGCAGTCATTGTGATGTCATTACACAGTCATTGTGATGTCATTACACAGTCATCAGTGATGTCATTACGCAGTCATTGATGTCGCGTGACAAGTAACGTGACAGTGACCATATCGTACTGTAAGTACTTTATGAAATACAGAAGAAAATAAAAATAGAATAAAAGGATGAAAAAATTGTTGAATTATTGCAAATGGATCCAGGATTCGACGCGAAAAGTAAAGCAAAGAGTTTTTTTTAGGCTGTTAAAAGCAGTTACAGTCGGCAGGGCAAATCGAAAAACCGTGGGCACCTAGAAATATATACTTCAAGAATGTTTCTTAACCAATCAGAAGCTTTAGTTTTATCTTTCCGTTGTCTAATGGTTAGAAAGTCAATTCTGATTAGTTAAAGAACAATTGGAAATTCCTGGAATATTTCTAAGTGCACACGGTTTTTCGATTCGCACTGTAATTTATTATTATTTCCCGAGGTTTTTCCTCAAGAGTCGGAATGGCTAATTGAGACCAACGGTAATACGAAAATGATGCTGGTTGAACCAATGTCAAAGGTCGCATAAAAAACAATTGTCATACAAGATAACGAAAACCAAACTTTTGTAAGGGTTATGTTTTTAAGAAGTTTTTATCTGTTTCTGATTCGTGGTCAGCTCACTGTTAGCGATATTTTTAAAACGTGGATAAACAAATAGTTGGCGCCAATTTCTTTTATCAATAGTTTTGGCGCCAAAACACAGACGCGTGTGGCGTAACAGGACTCGTGTTTTCATTGCATTTCCATGCTAATGAGATTGTGACAGACGGAGAAAGATGGCCAGATCGGAATACAAATAACCGTCCACTGAAGACGACARTCCAGACAGGAAAAAGATCAAAGATTGTACTAACAAGGGCTAAATGGGGTCTGACAAGGGTAAGGATTAGAAAGGAATATGAAGAAAAAATCGAGCTTAATTACTAAATCACAGCTCACAGACTTAGCACCGATTAAACTCACCGCGGGAATTTTAAGTAACCACAAGACGTGAAATTATAGTCTATTTGCTTAGAAAAACGGCTGTCAAATCATATCTGTGACGTCATTCGTGCATGTGGATTGGTTTAACGCATGGCATGAGAATAATAAACAAATATATATATACCAWAAAAACAAAGTAAGAATATAAATACTTTGGGTAAGAATCATATAATTCATRAGAAATGAAAAACCGACACAGTCGTGATTCTTAAGGAGAGAGGATGGATTAATCCAGTTAGAGACGAGACTACATCCAGCATTTACCATATTTGACAGCTTGTTGATTTGTCAGTTTTCTGGATCAAAAGATAAAATCCAAAGGAAATTATCCATTTTTTTCGTTAACTCCAAGAAAAGGTTTCTTAATTCTCATACCAGCACATCAATAGTTGAAAAAATCCCGTGTAAAAAATCATTTAAACATCCATCAACTTTAATATAAATAAAAAATAGATAAAAATATTTTGTACTTTTACTATGAATCACCAGAGGGTGCTTAAAATTGTTATGACTCTYTAACCTTTATGAACAAAAACGAGAAATCGAAAATTAACCTTAATATTTAAGGTATCATAACTGAGCCGCATTCCAAGTTTCAACTACTTTATTCCGACGACACTTAGAGATTATAGCTCCATTCTTTCAGTGTACCGATGTAAAAAATCACAAYGAACTAAGAGGCTTTATATATGATGTTTAGAATGATTGCAATAAACCCCCGAAAAAATAACTAGYCTTAACATGTATAAGACTTAAAGAGGAATAAAGAAAACATCAAGGCTTATKTGGACGTATTCGAGATGTGTGGCAGTCTGCGAGCTTGGACGCTTTTCTGATTAAAGAGAGCTTGAATACGCCCCCGTTCAAAATACCACGAGTTGGTGGCGCGAACGGTGTTGGTGCTGGGGCTGACTTACATATCTGTTGAATATCTGCCGTCTGTTTTAGCCAATCCATCAGAAAATATGACTGTGTTCAGAGAAGTAAATGATATAAGAATACAGAGAACAGAGCGACATCTTTGAACTGAGTCAAACTAAAACTGATGTTATCTCAAAACGACTGTGCTAATATAATCAAGTCAGGTAATCGCTAGAATCAAAGCCAGGTCCTACAGAAAAGCCCAAAGTTCATTTGTAACTACTAAAGCTGAAGTTATCCTGGATAATGGAGGCGGTTTTCAGATAATATGAAAGTGCGACCACGTAAATGGAGGGCAGAAATCGGTCATCGTCTGTTGTGCAGGAGTGCATGTGTTTCTATTCAACGTTCTTCAAATTTAAAAAGCCGGAAACAACGCTAAATAGATTTCAGCCAAACAAAAAACTCTTGCTTGTATCTTACATATTAGTTATGAATGTTAATAAGATATCGATAGTATTAATATAAAAAGAAACATTCATAGGACGTACCTGATATTGTAGTTTATTGTGTCTTCTTCAAGTTGCTGCAGCAAATGGCAAATCCCCAGAGGTCGCGCTCTAATTTCAAAGCTTCTCCTTTCTGCACCTTTTGACCAGGTCTGACGAGGTCCTCGACTAAAATGAACCAGGCTGGAAATAACGACACAACAAGGTACTTTAATGACGAGCTGCGTTGATGCTTCGGAATGGACTCAATTGATAATTTGTCTCGAGTGGGTTCCTAAAGGTTCTGCACTTTTGGGGGAAATGCGACAAGATTTGGAGTCAATTATCGGATCTTTATGTCAACTTAGCGGGTGTTGGTTAAAGCTATCCGCTCCTTGTTATCCACAGATACTGGACCACACATCTGACCTACTCCAGCCTTTCTCAATCCAAAATAGTTTAAGGAAAAGTATTTTGCGTGTTTGTTTTATTCAGGCCTTGAAGATGATCTCCAGAATAAACRAAACTAAGTAAACCAAGGCTCTAGTGTCAGTTTTGTCAGAAGATACGTTTAGAGGTTCTTATCAGCAAGAGGGGACAGCAGCTGCCAAGCAAATTGCATACCAAAAACCCGGTGACGTTTCCGCGAGAAGTTCTGTGTTACCTCATGGACTATTTCTTATCTCTAATCTAGGAGGGCACGAAGATAACGATTCAGGGAATGTAATGGTCTGGTTAAACCGTGAGAAAACTCTAGCATACCATCTTCATGGAACTTTAAGAACGTCGCTAAAATTCTGCGCCCATTACTGAAAACTCGTAGTACTTATAAATATAAAATTTGTTTTATACGAGCTTCAGAGTCCTTGAACCAATGAATGGTTATGGTTTCGTGATGGTAGATAACCCTGAGAGAGATATCATCAAATCTTTTCTGCCTAAATAGATCTCCGGGGTCAAAAGATACACACCGAGTCCTTTGTATTGGCTCGTTGTCTTTGTGTTCATGATAAAATCTACTGGTAAAGCGATATGAGATGGCTCTCCGATAGGAATAGATTAGCACTTAGTACTTACTATATTCTTTAAAAAATTGCAACTGATACATAATAAAAATAATACGACTTGGAAATGCTATGGAGCTATACTAAGTGTTCCTTCTAACCTCTCTCTCTCTCCCTCTCCCTCTTTTGATGCTACTGTCGTTGTTGTTGCTGCTGAGGCCTCTGCTGCTACTGGTTTTCAGTGCTGCTGTTGCTGCTGCTGCTGTTGCTACTGCTACTGCTGCTGCTACTGCTACTGCTACTGCTACTAGTACTACTAGTACTACTATTATACTACCACCACCACCACCACCACTACCACCACCACCACCACTACCACCACTGCAGCTACTACGATTGCAATTGTTATGACCACTTTTGCTGTTGCTACTACTACTATTTCAGTACTACTAATATTGCTGATGGACATTCTGTAATGAACCCAACTTCAATTCTCATGAACATCACACTAGTCAAATCGTACAGAAAGTATCACTAGTGTTTGCAGTCTCATTACGACAGTGTCAAAAATTAAATGGCCTAAAGGCGATATTAATCTTCTATAAACGGTCATATCAAGAAAATAATTTTCGCTAACAAGACAGTTTACCTCAGAGGTCACTCGTAGTTCAAGCTCTTATCACAAATCCTTCAAAGCGCCATATTTGATGTAATGGTCGTCCGTCCAATGAGTGGGAAGTCAGCCACTCAGCGTGGGGTCCCAATCAAGAATACAATTACGCTACGATAGGTGTGAAGATGGAGAGAAAGATAACACTAAATAGCTGTTGAATTGAGCAAGAACAATGTCCGTTTATATAAATAAACGCTTGCACTTCATAGGAAATTGAATTCCGAATCAAAAATTGTTTTGGCTAATGAGACATAAGTCACGCTTCAACGTATATAGAAATGCGCAGAGCTTTGTCTGAAACTATGAGAAAAACAGCTTCGTTAAATTAGACATCAATATTAGTCTGGGTTAGGCTTTAAAAAGAAAGAAAACTGCTACAATATTATTACTTCTTTGAATAGCCTGGACAAGTTCTACTTTACGAGATGGTGCTCGCGTCCTGATACGTAAAGGGGAAGAGACTGTGTAGTTGTTCGGGGCCTGTTTTCCCAAATCTTATTGTTAAGAAAAGAATAAAAGGCGACCGCAAAGGAAAGGAATGAAAGCTCACAAGTAATTAATCTTAATTGAATTAATTTTTTCGAATTTGTTCAGTCTGACAGTCTCACGCGAGAGGTGGATGCATGAGGAAGAGAAAGAAAAATTGAGAAGAAGAAGAAGAAGAAGAAGAAGAAGAAGAAGCAGAAGCAGAAGAAAAAGAAGGAGAAGAAGAAGAAGAAGACCTCAAAGGACCTCACAACGCGGCGAACCAAAAGATATTTGAGCTACAGCAAACAAAATAATTGAAAACGAATGTTAAAATAAATATTTTTAGAACAATTTCCAGATAAGATAAAAATCCAATCAATCATCAAAAAATTGATTTCCACTGGGAGGAGTTGCCATCAGATGTGAGTTAAATTTTTCTCTTCCTTGATTCGACTGTTGCATTTATTATGATTGTTTTACGATATGTATACACCCTTGCATGTAAGATAAATAGCTTCTTTTATTGATAATAAAGAAAACATGAAGCGCAAATAAACAAAGTTATAAATATGGTGCACTCAATTACGGGAAGACGGCTTACTTAAAACAAAATCAACTCAGTCAAGACACGAAAACATATTTTGGATTTTTCATTCAAGAAGTTCAAAGATATGAAAATCGTGAAGGAGCTAATGTGGAAAATTTTTCTTTCTTTCTTTCTTTCT